TTTTTGGACACCCTGTATATCTAACTTAGAAACTACATGGGCAAGAGACAGTGAGCCTTGAGAAGTTGTGCTGATTCTGGTGGTCCAATGCCAAAACAAACAAATGCATGTGGGCCTGTTTATTCAGAGAAATTTGTTGGCATTATCCCAACTACAAAATAATGGTGACTCAACTCCACTTAACTCATTTGAGTATTTATTTCTAGTGGTTATAGAGGCACAGACTATATCCCTTTATGCTGCCTTTGTTGTCATGTAATAGAGAAAATAACTTTCCTGGCCAAGTACTTGTTGATCAATATCTGATCTCCTATTAGTTTGTATTGCTGCTGTAACACATTACTACAACCTTAGTGCTTAAAACAACCCAAATTTATTACCCTACAGTTCTGGAGGTCAGAAGTCAGACTTCAGTCTCATTGGGTTAATATCAATGTATGAGCAGAGCTGTGTTCCTTTCTGGAGGCTCAAGGGAAAAGTATGTTCCCTTGTTCTTCTAGCTTCTAGAGACTGCCTGCATTCTTTGGCTATGGCCTATTTCTCCATCTTCAAAGTCAGCAACATCACATCTCTCGAATGCTTCTTCCATTGTGACATCTCTTTCTGACTACAGTCAGGAAAGGTTCTTTGTTTTTGAGGACTCATGTGATAAGAATCAGTCCAACAGGATAATCCAAGATAATCTTCCTATCTCAAGGTCTTGAACCTTAATCATATTTTCAAAGTCCATTTATTCATGTAATGTAACATATTCACAGGTTCTGCATTAAGGACATAGATATTTTGGGGGTCATTATTCTGCCTTCCACAGAGCAACATCATGTTTTTTTTTTATTTCTCTTAGTGGTGGTGATGCTAGAAGAATCTCCCCACTTCCAGTGGATCTGAAAAGATTAACAGGACTTACTCAGTCTAAGAAAGTCAAGGAAGAGCCTCTACTCTTTTAACCATCATGGTGGTCATTGAGATGCTGACTTCTGACCTCCAGAACTGTAGGATAATAAATTTGGGTTGTTTTAAGCACTAAGGTTGTGGTAATGTGTTACAGCAGCAATACAAACAAATAGGAGGTCAGATATTGATCAAAAACTTCTCAAGGCTCACTGTCCCTTGCCCATGTAGTTTCTAAGTTAGATATACAGGGTGTCCAAAAATGTATACTCACTTTGAATGATTATAAAGTCAGTGTTTATTAATATACAGTTCATTTTTAAAAGACTCCACATAAATGAATTATTTTTTATTTGTCAATGCTTGTTTTCAAACTGAGATGCTCCTTGACCAAGGCCTAGAGGAAAGGCAAGAAGCTCATCTAATCAGCTCTGATGGGCTGTAACACTCGGTGTTACAATGTTTTGGGTCCATGATACAACCTCACTATTTAATAGCTCTTCCTTCCTGAGATGAGAAATTGTTTCTATCTGGATGGACTTCAACTTCAATAAAATAATATTTTAAAAGGTGTCTGTTGTTCATAGATGTATAAAGTATATGCATATTTAACATGAAAACCACATTTTCTTTTGCCAGATTAGCACATAACATACTTTTGATTCAATTGATAAACACCTTCATTTAAATGTCTACTAAATAGCAATGCAATTGTATGGAGTGAAGGTAACTCAAAACTCAGCTGAAATGCCATAACCACCTTTTAAGTCAAATTACTAGGCTTTCATTGAATCATGATTCCATGGCATTTAAAACAAATGTAGGTGGCTAATGTTGAGCAGATCAATTGATTTTTCAACTCAGGGAATCAATGTATTTGCCCCTCAAAAATGTTGTTTAAGTAATAAAATATTTTACCATACAAATTAGCTAGCAGAAGGGGGAGGAGGGACAGTTAAACCCAGTTTCAGTGTGTGAGTTTATACAGGCAGTACAACTCATAGACAAATCCAGGCTGCCATTCATGTCCAGAGGATTTGCAATGTCTCATATATTTGGGCAGTTCAGACTGTATAATTCAGGTTGGGAAAAAATCCCCTTTTCTCCATTTCCTGTGTAATTAAGGAAAACACTGACTTAGTTGCCTTTATGATTAAAGGCCTGGAGGCCTGGCATCAGGCTGTCCACACAAGTGCCAATAAAATCACCTGAAAAGTGAAAAAATATCAATCAACTTGTTTAAGTAGTTTCCTCCCCGCTGTATCTTTTGAGTTGAGGAGAAAAGGTAAATGGGGCAGAAGTGCCTGCTCCTGCAACACTTACTCTGTCTAATACACACACACACATGAGCTATGGAAGATGTTGATAAGGACATTCCTGGATGTCTGGTATTTTACACAAGCTGGCCCTTCTGTTCACCCAAACCTCATTATAATATTATTCTCTCCTGTGTTCCTAGTTCATTGAGGATATCAAAGCCAAGAGGCATGTATTTTACCTCAACTTCCTGCCCTCAACCCATCTGCTAGAGTATACTCTAGACCAGTGATGGCGAACCTATGTACATGCCTCAACCAGGGCCCAGACCGGGGAGGAGCCTGCAATGGAGGTACATGACCTTGACCTGGATCGAACCCAGGACCCTTCAGCCTGCAGGCCGATGCTCTACCCACAGAAAAACCAGCTAAGGCTTGATCTATTTTTTAAAAAATTTCATACAATTCACTAGTGAAGACATTCTGTAAGGCTTTTCTTTGAGGAAAGCGCTTGGTTACTAATGCAACCTCTTACAGCTTATAAATCTAATCAGATTTTCTATTTATTTTTAGTCAGTTTTCCTAGTTGGAATATTTCTAGGAATTTGTCCATTTCATGCATTTTATGTCAGTTGTTGTCATGATGTTCCTAAGAACTCTTTTGTAACCCTTCTGTCAACTCTACGCCTCAGTTCCCATTGGTAATCTGAGAGAAAGAGGCAGGTCCAAGTCTGAATGTGGTGTTCCCTGTGTGTACGAATGTGTGTCTATGTGTGTACACATGTGTGTACAAGTGACAGACCAGAAAAGGCTGCACAGCACACAGAGAGGGTCAGGTGGCCTCCAGACTCAGGCTGTCTGCCTGACTTCACACACCTGCCCCACCCCCACTGCCCAGGACATCCTGGGCCCTTTCGCTCACCCCTCAGTGGTTGAGGTCCCACACCAGCTCCTTGCACCTGGTGAAGAGCTTGGGACCTGATTGCCTGTGGGTTCCCCACAGCAGCCGGGGCCCTTCTGACCTGTAGGTGCTGCCCCCAGCAGTCGGGCTGGGACCTGCCCATTAGTGGACCAGGCTCTGTCCTCTTCAATTGCTTCTCTCCTGGGCCTCACCCAGGATTCCCTGAGCAGAGGTTGACACATCGGAAGTGCTCAGTCAGAGGGATACAGCTCACTCTGTGTCGCTTTGGTGAAATCAGCTTAGCCTCTAGTGGGTGTAACTCTGAATAACTGTTTTCTCTCACGGGAAGCCTTTGGTTCATGGAAGGAAAACGTCTCAGTGCTTCTCTCGTGGTGCCCAGGGCTCCTTGACATGGGGGAATCTTTGCAGGCCCAGAAAATGTGCTCCTAAAGAGGTTGTGGAACTGGAAAAGCAGGCTGTACTGACCAACCTGAAGCAGAAGGTCCCGACTGCACTTTCAAACCCCAGGTGGTTACTGGAGCTCATACCCAGGAAAGGGGGAAGGGATATCTTCCAGGTAGGCATCCCACAGCACCTGTTCCCCTAGGGGTAGGAGGACTCCACAGGAAGGTCACTGAGAATCCAGCTGAATCATGACCATCAACGGGCCATCATGCTGCTGATGTAGAAGTCAGGTTCAACTGAATTGGCACCATTGTGGAGAGCAATACCACTATCTGCTGTTCACATACACAAATTTCTGTGCCCAGATATAGGGGACTGTCCGCATGAAATGCCTCTCTGGGCTCATTGATTGTCTCAAGGACTCTAACCTTTAGGGAAAAGGGAAAGCTGCCAGGAAATATCTTGGTGTTATCACTCTTTTTGGTTCTGCTCACTCCTGGGTTGTACAAAGAAAAATGTTTTAGGAGAACGGGTTAGTGTTTGGGACTCCCTTACACGTTTTCCCCTCTCTGTCTGGTCAAACTCAGAGAACACTTCAGTAGCATCCAAGGGACCTTGTGGGAGGTCTGGGAGCGGTGACTGAATGATTGCCTAAGAGTGACCAGCAGTGATGGCCTCATTCACCGTGAAGGGACACCAGACTTTGAAACAAAGCACCACTCTGTCTTGGCAAGTGACTGGTCTGCTGTAAAAGTGTCCGTTGGCTCACGAGGCCATGTGTTAGACATGTCACATAGCTACCTCATGACTCAAGAACAGATCTGAAATATAGCTCTGATGTAAATGTGATGGGTAGAACTTTTTTGTTTTTCTGTGTGGGCAAACTTTAATTTATTTTGGGTCTCTTCTAGCAAGGTTACTAATGGTTGTTAGTAGTGAGGATAATGGCCTTTCTCCCAGGCAGTGACTACAATGGCCCATCTTCTGAGCCAGACTGGCTCTGTCGTACACTGCTTAGTAGATGGGGTAGCCCGGGTTCTAGGTGGGCCTCTCTGCAAGGCCCCTGAAACTTGGGCGAGAGATACTCAGATGCTGATCAGAAACGTCCTGGCATCATAGGGGGACCTGTTATTAAAGACCCTCCTGTTTCAAAATGCATGACTAATATAAGGTGATTCCCCCAAGGTCAGGAGCCAAGCAGTTCTGTCTCCTGTCCAGTAGGCAAGGCTCAGGGGACCAGATCTTCCTGGGCTTGCCTCAGGACTTCCTAGCCAGATCCTTGGCTGAGTGTGTGAAAATGAGAGGACAACTGGCACAAAAGCCTGTCTGGGCCAGGACCTCTAGCCTCCTCAGGCTCATCTGATGAGGTGTGTGGCACAGAAACAAAAGAACACAGACACACAATTCTCATTGGATTGTTTATTTTTCTACTATTTAGTTTTGCTTTTCATTATTTAAGCCAAAATGGATTCGTGGTTACAAAGAGGAGATTGTTTTCTGTCAATGTGACGTTAGCGGTCTACATTGTCCTTGAACTGCTCACGGAGTTAACACTTGTTATTTGAGGAACCTTCTTCCTCCTCCTTGTCAGGGTCCTCAAGTGGGGCCATGACTGAAAGGCCAGCCATCAGGGTGGAATAACAGACATTGCATGAAGACATCACTGAACCATGGAGTGGGTTATTTGTGGGGCTTGTAGGCAGATCCCCTGTGCCGTCAGTTCTGGCAGTAGCCAGGGGTACAAACATGACATTCCCAGACATGCCCTCCCCACTTGGACCACCTGCCTTACTTGGGCACTGGACCTCCATGGCACTGCTTATGGGCCGCAGACCCAAGTACTTGAAAAACTCTGCTGCACTGGGTTCCCAATCATTCTTGGCTTTCCTCTGGGCCTTTTCTTCGGCATCGTTGTTGCCGTCATTGTAGCGAATTCTTGGGGAGTGTCTTGTGGGAGCCATCTTCTTCTTTCTCTTGGGAGGGGTTGAGCTGGTCCTTGGCAAAGCGCGAGTCATCCGGTTGCCTTTTCTCATGATGTTCTCAAGAAGCCAAGGCTTGTCTCTCTGAAAATTGCAGTTTTGGTAGATCTGAAACAAAATAATGAATTCAGTGATTTGGGGAGAAAATATATCTATTTGACATTAACTGGCCTCTCAGAGTCTTTACTCATCCCTGCAGGTTATCTCTAAGGGGGGCTATAGTTTCAAATGAAAATCTATACTTTCTCATCTTTTGATAAATACTGTCTCATGTCAAAAAGGGTTAGACCCTGAAATGAAGCCCTTTCAGTATATCGTTCTTCTGGGCCCACTAGGAAGATGTTTGAGTAACAGGGAACATGGGAAATGGGAGGGTTTCTACTTTACCATCATCTTGTTGCCTGGAGAGCAAACTGAAGAGTTGCCTGGGCGTATTTTGCTGAATCCATGGAGATTCAGCAAGCGGATGAAACTCTTCAGGCTTTTGGATTCAAATATTTGCTCCTCACCCCTTCGGCAAAGAATCTCCCTCTGGAAAAGATTTTCCTCGATGATCAGGGTGTCTCCATCATCATTCCAGCGCACAGACGTGAAGGCGTCATCCTCCACTATCTTCCAAAGCTTTCTTGGGAAGGACAACCCAAGAAGAATGTTGTTTCCTTCCACATTGGTGGCGCCTTGGTTTGGGTCCTGTGGTTGTGGGTTGTCTTGGGGGCTTGGATCTTGGCTCTCTTCCTGGTCCCCATGCCTCTCCAAAGCCTCCCTTGGACCCACATGTGGCTCTGTGGATGTATCATATTGGGCCATTATTGGTGGTTGCCCATCCTCTGATGGGGCCAGCTTGGCTTCGTGTATCTCATAGATACTCTGACTAGCCATTTTGATGCTCTACATCAAAAAGCACTTGGTACCCAGGATCCTATCACTTCAAAAGTGGGGTCAGAAATGCCTTTGGTCACAGCAGTGATGCCCTATATATACTGTCCTCAAAATTCTAGAGTCTCGGTCGTGGGGCAACCAGCTGCTTAAGTCATGTGATGTCACAAAGGTGACTTATGGCTGCTCTGGCGTGTGGGCCCTGGCCAAGTGTGGGGGAGTGGACATCAGTAGGGCCCCCATCGTCTCTCTTTTTGAATAGTACAGAAAAATAGCGTTCAAGTTAATAGAAAAGGTGCTCATCTGCTGCCAGACACATTGTTTCTTCTTGTTATGCACTGGATGTCTTTAAAAGTCACGGTCCTATCTCCACTCCCACCCCTACAGATGGGGGGAGGCCTGTTGATGACCCCTTTGTTTGCAAGTAGGCAATATGGGTGCCTGCCAGAATTGAAATCCATGAATACTCTTGATTTCTAAGTTCTGAAATTATACCATGACCTGCTGGAGCCTTGTAGAGTCTTATGCTTCTGAGTCAGAAGAAAGAGGCTGTCAAAGGCTTTCAAAGTTGTCAGGATATCAAAAGGTCCTTATGACCTTTTTATAGTTATAAAGGATTCAGCAACATCTGGATGAAATTTTGTCTCATGCATGCACAAATTCTAACATGGGGAAAAGGTGATGAACAACATATCTTGGTCAGACTCCAAAAGCAGCAGAGGATGTGGGGGACCCCAAATGAAACCTCACTTGTCTTGCCCATGTAGAGTTGAAGCCCAATTAAATGTTCTATCTTTATTGAAAATCCATCTATTCCAACAACTATGAAGATCTGAGAAATCAGATTTCAAACACTGATGACCACATGCACTGGAGGATGGTATATTCAGGGCACCACAAGCTGCTCCTTTCATACCTTCTTTTTTCTAACTTGCTAGCTATGAATATAAGCTTTTGCCCACCATGTAGAACATAACCCATGCTATCTATTTCTTTTACAGTCACTCCAAGTTAAAAGTGACCCAACCACTAAAATGAGCATTTTGTACCTGCCAGGAATTTACCCAGGAGGAGTTCCTTTCTGCACTGTATCCTCTGCTAAAATTCATTTAAGGATGAGAATGAGCATGAGGGGTCTCCTTCCTAAGTGGCTTCTGGCACAACAGCTCCAAATCATACCAGGACATCCGTGTTTGCTCACATTTCTGCATGGTATTTTTTAGTGTGTTGAACAGGAACTTGTAAAATTTGGAAGAGAATGGATTTTGACCCCTGTAAGTGTTTAGAGCTGAAGCATCATGATAGTGGATTTGGCAGTGGTGGGTTAGGTACTAATCTATGGGTTAGGTACTGGGAGCACTAGATGAATCAGCCTTCCTAGTCCTTCATCTATGACATATAGTCAGAGAGCCTTATTCACAAGGAACCAAGAACTAAGCATGTTTTTCTAATGAAATATAGTTGATCTATCACAAAAAAATGGAAGACTTTGTGAAGGGATGTTACAAAACTCTATTCATTCCATTATTCATTTTTGTCTTTTCTTTTTTTATTGTTTAAAGTATTCCATATGTCTCCTTTTTCCCCCATCGACCCCCCCAGCCACTCCTACCCCCCAGGACAAGCCCCCACCGCCCCAGTGTCTGTGTCCATTGATTATGCATGCATACAAGTCCTTTGGTTGATCTCTTACCCCACCCCCCACACTCCCCTGCCTTCCCTCTAAGGTGTGATGGTCTGTTCTGTGTTTCCCTGTCTCTGGATCTACTTTTGCTCATCTGTTTATGTCATTCATTATATTCCACTCCTAGGTCTTTCTGAGTTCATTCTATGTGTGGGGAACAGTCCCTGTCTTGGCACTCAAGCAGGGCATCAGACAGAATGGGATGCTACCAACCAGGGGTTGGAGTTGTCTGTGGGACCTATGGACTTAAAGATAAAAGGAAAGATGGACAAACCTGAAATACCAATAAAGAGGTGACCTGATATATATTACTGGGATGAAAAAAAATGGAAGAGCTCATTTTGGTCCCTTTAGGTTCCTTGTAATATGACTCATCTGTTAACTGGTTTGTGAACTACTAATTCCCATTTCTAACCAGCTGGAGCAGGGCCATTACATTTAAAGGACTGCCAAATACCAGTTATCAGACAAGAATCTCTGAGGCAGGCCAAACCAGTAGCTGTTCCCAACCTTTATCCCAGCTTTCTCTCATTGGAGAGACCAGTTCCCATAAGTACATGAATCTCTGGAATTCAACAAATTCTAATCAGGAATAAGTAAACATATTTCCTCTTACAGATAAATATGCTCCTAACTGAGAAGGCAGAAAAGCAAACACAAATATCTTTCAAATACAACCAAAACCTCCAAATCATGTGGGGTCCACACTGGTGTTTTGTCTTCCCTGCCTCTAGAATCTTGCTCCCACTCCTGAAACATGCAAAAATGCAACATGAAAAAAAGATAACCCATCTCACACCTATTAGGATGGTCATTATTAAAATAAAACACAAAAAACAATTTAGAAAATAACAGGTGTTGTCAAGAATATGGAGAAATTGGAAACCTCGTGCATGGTTGTTGAGAATGTAAATTGGTAGAGCCACTATGGAAAACAGTATTGAGGTTCCCCCCAAAATTACAAATAGAATTATCATATGATCCAAGAATTTTGGATATATACTATCTATATATCCAAAAAGATTGAAAAGAGGATTTTCACAATAGCCAAGAGGTTGAAACAACCAAAATTCCCATCAACTGATGAATGGATTATATATATATATATATATATATATATATATATATATATATATATATATATATATGGCATACACATACAATGAAGTACTATACATCTTCATAAAATAAAATTCTTTCATATGTGACAACATGGATGTATCTTGAGGACATTATAGTAAGCAAAATCAACTAGTCACAGAAGGACAACTACAACATGATTATACTTATAATGAGGAATCTAAAACAGCCAAAATCATAGAAGCATAAAGGCAAATGATGGTTGCCAAGTACTGGAGGGAGTCTAAAATGGGAATTGCTAATATTTGATAAAGGAAGCAAGAGCATACAATGTAGTCAAGACAGTCTCTTCAATAAATAGTGTTGGGAAATTGGACAGATACATGCAAAAAAATGAAACTAGACCACCAACTTACACCATATACAAAAAAAAACTAAAAATGTATAAAGGATTTAAATGTATGATGGGCAACCATAAAGATCCTAGAAGAAGCCATAGGCAGCAAAATAGCAGACATTTGTCATAGCAATGTCTTTACTAATACAGCTCCTAGGGCAATGGAAATTAAGGAGAAAATAACAAATGGGACTATATCAAAATAAAAAGCTTCTGCACAGCAAAAGAAACCGTCAACAAAACAACGAGAAAGCCCATGGCATGGGAGGACATATTTGCCAATTTTATCTTCCATAAGGGTTTAATCTTCAAAATTGACAGGGAACTCATACAACTTAACAAAAGGAAGATAAAAAATCCAATCAAAAAATGGGCAAAGGACCTAAATAGATACTTTTTGAAAGAGATCATACATAAGGCCAAAATACATATGAAAACATGCTCAAAGTCACTAATCATCCAAGAAATGCAAATCAAAATGACAATGAGGTACCATCTCACACCTGTCAGAATAGCTATCATCAACAAATAAAAAGTGCTGGAGAGGAACACAGACTGGTGCATCCACTGTGGAAGACAATATGGAGTTTCCTCAAAAAATTAAAAATGGAACTTCAATTTGACGCAGTAATCCGACTTCTAAGAATATATCCCAAGAAAACAGAAACACCAATCAGAAAGGATAGATGCACCGCTATGTCCATAGCAGCACAATTCACCATAGCTAAGATTTGGAAACATCCTAAGTGCCCATCAGCAGATGAGTGGATTAGAAAACTGTGGTCATCTACACAGTGGAATACTATGCTGCTGTAAAAAAGAAGGAATTCTTACCATTTGCGCCAGCATGAATAGACCTGGAGAGCATTATGCTAAGTGAAATAAATCAGTCAGAGAAAGATAAATATCACATAATCTCACTCATTTGTGGAATATAAAGAACATCATAAACTGATGAACAAAAATATATACAGAGACAAAGAAGCATTGAACAGACTGTCAAACTTCAGCAGGAAGGCAGGGGAGGGTTGGGTGGGGGTAAGAAATCAACCAAAGGAATTGTATGCATACATATAAGCATAACCAATGGACACAGACACTAGGCGGGGGTGAGGGCATGTGCTGAGGGGGGAGGTCAATGGGGGAAAAAAGGAGACACATGTACTACTATTTGTAATACTTTGAACAATTAAAAAATACTATAAACTGGATGGCATATAAACAACAATAACAAAAACAGAAAATTCATAGATATGATGATATACATTGAAAAGAACAAAATGAGAGGATTTGCTATATTGGATAGCAATACTTGTTATAAAACTACAGTAATTAAAACAGTGTGGCATGAACACAGAGAAACAGTGGTTAAAATGCAAAGCCCAGAAATGGACTCATGCATATATGGACACTTGTTTTATTTAAAAGGTTTCATTGTAGAGTTCTAGAGAAAAGGTAACCTTTCTAATAAGTGGTGTTGAGTTCATAGGACATGTATTAAGAAAAAAAATAAAAGTGGGACTGTTTCATTTACACACGAAAATCACTTTATACATTTGTGACTTTTTGACAATTAGTGTGTTATAGAGCTAAATGTGAATGGAAAAAATAAAATATCTTTTAGAAAGTAATATGGGAGAATGTCTTCATAACTTGAAGTTATTAAAAGGGACACAAAAGCTCTAAACAAAGAAACTCTCAGTAAGTTGGAGTACAGTAAATAACTATTTCTGTTGAGACCTCATTTAAAGAGTGGTAAGCAAGTCTTTCACCCTTACCTGTTATACTTCATTATTCATATAACAGAAAGAGTGTTCATTGAAAACTATAAAGTGGATTATA